CGTTGTAAAATCCAGTTTCTTCCACTTAAGGCAGCTAGCCAAAGTAAACATATTCTTTAAAGACAGAATTTCGAAACAATAATTCATGCATTTGTGACCACACAGTTGGATCACTGCAATGCACTTTATATAGGAGTCAGTGATTTATATGTGTCCCAGCTCCAGAGGGTACAAAATGCTGCTGCTCGTCTTTTAACAGGCACCCGAAAATGTGATCATATCTCCCCTATTTTAGCTTCCTTACATTGGCTGCCAGTACATTTTAGGATTCATTTTAAAATCCTTTTATTTGTTTTTAAAGCTCTTAATGGCCTTGCCCCTCCCTATCTGTCTGAGCTGTTTCATTCTTATACACCATCACGTTCCCTCAGGTCAGCTGATCAAGGTGCCAAAGAAAAAATGCAAGCTCAGAGGGGACTGTGCTTTTTCTGTGGCAGCTCCCAAGCTTTGGAATGATCTTCCTTTGGGCATAAGACAGCCCTCTTCACTCACTGTTTTCAAGTCCCTCCTTAAGACCCATCTTTTTTCTTTGGCAAAATCTGAGATGTTTTTACTTGTTTTATTGTGTCTGTACATTAATATGTATTTTATATTCAATCTTTTTCCATTTTGCATTGTTTTTATGATTGTGTACGGCACTTTGGTCCTGTCGATGTATAAAGTGCTTTATAAATAAAGTTGGTATGGTATGGTATGATGCATGGTTCCTCTTCGGGTTCTTCAGCTTCTTCCAGCAGTCGAGAAACATGCATGTTACATTAATTGGTGTCATTAATTGGTGTTGATGTATGAGTTCGTCCTCTGGAACAACCTCTGGGTGCCCAAATTCATTACACTGACTGTGATCTGAAACAAAGAAAAGCATAATTTATCTTAAATTTGGACAAAAACAAGAGTTAAAAACTTTGGTGTTGGTTAAGTGTTTCCTTGCAATGTAAAACTGTTCTTGCTGTCATCCACTTGGAGAAAAAGGGCAAACAAATTTCACAGCATCCTGGGTGACATTTTTTAATAATTATCGGCCTGAATCAGTTTCTACTGGTAGACAGAAATGTATATCAGCATAATATCACTGATTTCTGCCTTTTTAGTGTGAATCCTGGCTCAGATATGACTTTCATTTTATTGGTCACCATGACAGCCGTGACATGTTTTATTTCCTCTTATTTCCATGCAACATAATGAACACTGTGCATTAGGCTTAGGCTATCCTCCACGCATTACAAATTCACAGGGCTTAGTAAAGTGATGCTGCTTTGCATTCTGCACTGTTCCCAGGAAATTCTTATCATTGGGAAATATATAAACATCATCTACACTAACGAAAAACTAACAAAAAGCACTTAAAAGTCTTAATTGCGTTGTTGCAATCACTTTCTAAAGTTTCAACATCAATAAGGGCTTTTTAAATTTAAATATTATGCATTATGTAGACCAGAAGCTATGAAGGTAGTGTTAAACTTTATGACAAAGGCTGCAGCTGTGCAGTTTGACCGAATGGTGTTGAATCAGTGGATCCTGTAGATCCCCGGGTTTTTAGGAGGGAACACTGAGTTTGATTTGTTGGGTTCTCCAGACCAGATAACTGCAGCCTGGCACGGTTACCATTGCCGGTCTCCGCACAGTGTATTTGGACCCGGAGCGGGTAACTTGCAGAGTGAATGCATGCCGGGCCAGCATAATAAAAGCTGGAATAGAGGATGTAACGTAAGAGCAGAAGAGAAGTAGAGGAAAACCGATCCCTGGACCGGACCAGCAGAGTGAAATCGCCCTTATATTCTGCACAATACGCATGTTTACTTAAAGACTAATACAAAATCTAACAAGCGTTTATTCTGCATTTGTCTTAGAGTCTATGTATAAAAATAAAAAAAATAATAAAGTGTTAGAATTAAGAATCTAACGAGATCTTGTGATATGAAAATTTCAAAGTGATTTTTTTCCACCACAAATACTATCCAGTTGCTGTTTTAGTCCAAGCTATTATTAAAGGCTCTGAACGTAAAGGTAGCTGCCTTCAGCTCGACACATTGATCTACACGTGAGACTCTTATTTTGAAGTAAGACCGAATGTGTTGTGTTGACATAGTCGACAAATCAAGAAAATAAAATGTTTACAGACAAGATGTGAACGATTTATAAGCACTGTCAGAGTACCGCAACTGGCTAACTGTTAGCCGCTAATGATGCTAACATTAGCATCTCCTTTCAGCCTCCTATTCCTTCAACAAACGACCAGTGCTTTGTTTTTTTTAAGTTAGAATCTCAAACTGGCCCCTGTCTGTTACCAACAACTGCACATACGACTCGAGTTTGAGTCTGGAAAAATTTGGAAGTTATACTTGAAGAATGTGTTGAAACCCTGAAACCATCAGTTAGGTTCTACTGGAATCACTCATATCAAGATGATCAGCTTTAGAAACGATCTTTTCCTCTACATTTCACTGAGCCTCGTTGACCCTATGGAACAAATCCAAAGTGACGACCATCATGTCTCCAGTTTGCAACGTTTTCTTTCCCCAGCTCAGTTTTTACAGCAATGGTTCATTTCAATTCTAAAAATGGTCTCCTAGGAAAAAAACAAAGCACAACTCTCATAAAACTGTTTTCAATTTCTCTTTATCTCTGTTTTTTTTTTGCCTGGAGCAACCTCTTCAATGGTCAGAAGTTGAATGGTGTTTGCAGTCTGCTGTGATATAAGTGGATTTAATAAAAGAAAATATTGAATAACTGTCTGATCTCTCCTTCTCTGAGATCCAGGCTGTCCTGCATCATTATATGTATTATTTATGAAACCAGCATGCACCAAGAGCTGCTGTTAGGTTCATTACCTAATCCTGTTAGCTGAGGTGACGGCAAAGCTGACTGAGCTGGTAGAACCGACCCAACACAACTACACAATGAAGTCCTGGTTTGGTCAAGGCGTAGAAATTATAAACTGATACTAACTAATAAAAACCAAGCTTGTTGTGACTGGATGGTGAAATTAGAAAAATGTGTATGCCACATGTGTGTCTCAAAAACTATTTAGGTTTGGTATATTACAATTAATGTTTCAGAAAAGTCTCTGATCAGCTAATGTTGTTTTTTTAGTGTAAAAACATGTCTTTCTAGGTAAATAAAATAAGAGAAGCAAAGAAAATGTACAAATGTACCTTGTATGTATCCCAAACCATTAACCCTCCATCTCCATGCTTGATTACAGGTATAAGGTGGTATTTTTTGCCCACATGCTCTGTTCATAATACTATTCTGTAACATTATGACCAAATATGACTACATCTGACAGGGCCTTGAAAAAGTATTCACACTCTTTGAGCGTTTCCACATGTTGTCATGTTTCAGCCAGAAACCTCGATGTGTTTTGCAGGGATTTTATGTGATCGACCAACACAAAGATGTGGATGGAAGATGAAACATGGTTTTACAAATGCAAATCTTATAAGTGTGAAGTGCATTTGTTTTCAGCCTTGCATTCCACAAATCTTAGTGGCAAGATTGAATTGTTGAAAGAAAACCATAAGAAGACATGTTTTTTGTTTGCCACAGGCTATAAAGGCACACAGCTAGTAGCAGAAATTGCAGCCCAATGTGGTTCTACAAAGTACTGACCCAGTGTGCTGGTCTGTCACATAAAACCCAAACTAAAAACACTTACGTTTGTAATGAGACAAAACGTGAAGAAGTTCAGTACTTATTTTTGTTTGAACGTTGGGATACATAAAATCTTAGATTTCTTATTTGCAGGTTTATCAGCTGTCAAAGAAATCATGTTTTTCTGTTATTTTCAGATCCATTGTTCCAGTGTTGGCTTTTGTCAGGGCCAGTCCGGATAAAAGGGAAAGAAACATGGTGTTCCAGTTCATCAGAATGACAGCGCACACATTTTGTTCCCTTCCAAATATTATTCATCCAGTGGGTTTGTGTTTTTTCAGGGACACTGTCACACAAACGCATATTTTGCTCCACTTACATTCTTGTTTATTTTTTGTGCAGCTGAAGTCTGAATTATGCTGCTAGAAATTCTTTTCCATTAAAGCAGAAAAATTACAAAAATGAAAAGGTCTATTAACCTTTAATGAATAACAGTGTTTTGCTCTTGGTTTTACTAGTTAAAATTGGAAAGATTATGCTATTGTTTTACATAAGAAAGGAATAAATTCCTCCCCTTTTTACATTTTAGAAAAATCCATCCACCGACACACCGTCATCTTTATTCTGTCGTGCTTATTTCTCTCTGCTGTAACCACTTTGCCTCAACCCGCCTCTTCTTGTTAGACCTCAATTAGTGGTTTCCTTCATTTCCCAGGAGGACTTTTGACAGGTCCCACTGAAAGGCGGTGGACGTGTTGCTTTCAATGAAACAGGACTGAATGGGACTGTGAATGGCTGGGAAATCTAATCATTCCAGTGTTTAAGTGTTTACTCTTCGCAGGAATGGAAATACAAAGAGCACTGAAGCAAAGTAACGGCAAGGTTGGAGAGAACTAGAACAGATTATGAAAGGAACATGTTTTACCCTTAACCTGAAACCAGTATGTGTGAAGAACATAATGAACTGTACATTACAGATCCATCCATTCAGCAGATCTTTGAAACAGCTCAACTCGCCCCACAAAAATAAAAATAAATGTATAAATGCTTGTAAAAAGTGAATATAAACAGAATGAGCATAGAATGTACCAAACACGCTATGACATTTGAAGCCTGTTTGGAGAAATGCATTCATATGTTGGCCTAGATGAGATGCTGGCAAATAATTATGTAAATTACCTTAAAATACTATGAAGAACAAAACACATGACACATTGTTTCCAAAATGTTTTGCTAGTAAAAATCGTATAGGTGTGGCATGCATTTGTTTATAATGTAATAACCCCAACTTAAGCCCAGTACAGCCAGTTATGTTCAGTTTAGGAGGCTTCTTATACCTAAATAATTCAGACGTCAGTTAAATGCCTGAAATCAGGGGTATCCAAAGTACAAGGGCCATTTGCAAATGGCCAGAGACTGGGAATCGAACCCAGGACAACCATGTCAAGGACTATAGCCGCTGCACCTGGTGCCACCATTGCACCACCCCCCAAACCTGCTTTTAATTCATTTATTAAACCTGGTTAAATGCAGAAAGCACTTTAAACTTTAAAGGAGTGACTTTTTGCATCCCTTCCCTACTAGTAACTCTGACTACTTTATTTGTTTAATTAAAATATTGCATGCCTATTTTATTGCTGAGTGTGTAAAAAAAAAAGATCACAATATAATTTTTTATGATCTTAGTGTATTTTTTGGCCCATAAGTACTTTTGACTTGACGATTTTGGTCCACGAGACCAAAAGCTTAGAAAACACTACCTTAAACAAACATTCTTCTGAAACAGCAAGGCATCGGACTGATAATGAGGGAAAAAGTGACCAAAGACCAAAGAAAGACGATCAGAACTATTGAGTAATATCACTTTAAAAGATTATAAGAATGTCTGTCTGCTTTAAACCATTTTCTAAAACATTTACTATACCATGTCTACTATACATGGTGGCTTTTTGCAGATGGTGTGCACTTGAGAACCTTTTGCAGCATCTAGGACTTCATAAAAGACTTTTCATAAGTGAAGGTCTTCCCACTTCACACCTTAAAATAAGGCCCAGTGAGATCCATGTCTTGCTTCCACATATTTTTATCTCTTTGCACAGCTTTAAGCTGGAAGTTGCACCAAAATGTCAGCTTCATCTTTTGTTTGCTTTGGTTTTCCTTACAAAATATAGGGTACCGTCATGACTGAAAAGCAGGAGTTTAGCAGTCCTGTTGGACGGGAAACAAAAGTTTTTTATGCTGTTCAGTTTGCATCTGTTCCCCCAAACCCTTGGAAGAAAAATCCTGACATTTGTCTTTTCTTTATTACATGCAATCTGTTGATACTGGAAAGCCAGGGATTCTTGGATCTATCAGGGTTTCATGTCAAAATCCAAGTACTTCAACTTTAATTAATCTATCTGCGTTCTGAAATTAAATTAAATCAAACATAAAGTACTGACCTGCGAACCAAACAAACAATCAGAGCTGGCAGATTCCCAGCTGGTTGGAAAAAGCGGCAGAAATGTGACTTTGAAAAAAGACAGAAGACAAAGCCAAGAGGGAGATGTTAGAAAACTGTACAATACTCCACATAACAAGCAATACGCCCTAAAAGTCCTTTGCTGTCAGCCAGCGCCAACAACTAGGATCCAGCACACAGAAGTGTTGTTTTTTTCTCTTTCAATGAACATTTCAGGTACTGTAATACAAAAAAACAAGCTGGATGAATTGAAACTGACAAGCTGTCTGGCAGCTAGTTTCAAATTTATTTCCATGACAAGCATTTATTTCAAATACATCATGTGCTGTTGCCTTTGTCAGCTTCACATTTCCCACTGAGAAAAGGAAAGGAAAGGAAAGGAAAGGAAAGGAAAGGAAAGGAAGTGTCCTAGCTGTGGACATTAATTACACTTAGGATAATCAGCTACTGCCTCCCGCTCGATAACGAGAACACGCCGGCATCTAGATATGTTATCAGTCATCGTGGTTTCATCATGATAGGTTTAAAGGAAATGTTAAACAAGGCAAATTACAAAAAATTGCCTGATTAAACACTGGCTCAATAGGACTTGTTTCCTTATGTGAATTTCCTTAAAAAACGAATTCTAATAATATTTCCCACTGTAATGTAGCTGCAAAGATCAAAGAAGTAAAGTACTATTGGAAGCATCCTAACAGATAATCATTTGCATTTTAAAGCTGTCTTACACAGTAAAGTATGATGTAAAATATTGGGATAAATTACTTTCATATTTCAGTGAAGGTCATTTCAATTCCTTTGAAAGTGGAGCAATACAGAAAGAAATGTCGCTAGAATTCAGGACCTAAAGGCTTTGGGGGAAAAAAAGATTTTTAAAGCTAAATTTTAGGAAAACAAACACCTTTAGACATAGATTTCTGATGGGTTATGACTTCATCATATAAAACAGCCGCTACAACTTATAAATATACGTAGTACAAACAACAACTTTGTTGTAAATCGTGATATAGACTTCTTTTTACCAGTTGCAAGCTCGCTGACAGCTTTGCCAAGGCCTTGGATAGCACATTGTTTCAGGCTCAGAGTCAAGGCCCCCAACCACCTCCGTCAACACCTTCGTCTGTATATCTGCTTCGAGGCATGCAGCCCCTCCTGCATCGCTTTCAGCTGCTCCGCTCTGACTTTCAGACTTTAGTTAGAGCTCCCGACTCCCCCTCTATCTTGGGTCCCCCTCTGTCAGTGGGCCTGACCAGTTGCACTATGTTGCTAGTACCAGTACCAGCTAGTAGTGATGGTAATTCACCAAGTTGTTTAAGCTATTTAAATCTGATATGTTGAAACAGGGCCTGGAATCAAAATAGTACTAAATTGATCAAGTACCTGTACTGGGGGTTATATTGATACTGATATGGTAGTTTTATTTTGAAAACCCAGATTCTGTAGTTAAGGTCTGAAGACCTCCCAGCAGAAGATCTCCTGATGCATACCGCCACTGCAGCCACAGCAGTGTTAGCAGGTCTACTAGGAAGATGGGGACCAGGTAGCCAGAACCAAAGCAGAGAACAGCATGAGCTCTATAAGTCACCACTCCTCTGAGCTCCAGTAGTCTACGATCCCTGCTGGTATCAAAAGTTATACACACTTTTGATACACACAGCATAGTGCTGCATTTCCTCCTGTGTAGATCCACTTAAGACACGGTTTGCAATATGTCATACATGACCTGATAGGAAACAGCGTGAGAGCATCTTAACTGCTGAGTTTTTGCTGAATTTGTGCATTTATCCCTGAAATTATCCCACATGCACTAAAATGATATAAATTCATTTTAATATCAAAATTTCCATTTTACTAAATAGTTTGGTTCAATTATTTTTTTTAGCAACACAAAAAAATAAGGTCGTTCCTCTGAAATGTTTACTGCTGTATTCTTTATACTTTTATTTTTTTTTAAGTAAAAAGTAAAATACGGACACGTGTATGTGTTTACATCATTAGTAATTATTCTTGATATAATCCCATACTTTGTCTTCTAATTGCAGTTAATTGTTTCCATAGATGACGGATGTATGAAACCAAATTTAACACTTAATTAGTTTACACCACTGAGGCAAAAAGTCAGCTGCTGTGCTCCCAGGAGATCAGACCGGCTGACATTATGGGCACAACAAATTACTATCACATCTTGCACCTGGCAAGGCATCTTCACACCTGGACATAGGCTGCCTTCTTGACACTAATAGGAGTCCTGGAAGGAAGGCAAAAATCCAGCTGAAGGTAAAATCCAGCTGAAAACTGGCCAGTGGCAGACAGCTGATCCCTGTTTGGCACCGATCCCCTCTCAGAGATGCTAAAAAAACTCCAAAGATTGCTCAGTTTTACAAGGCTCAGGGTGCAAGATAAACAAAGTGTGGAGGATGTTGCTTTACCTGACCCTGGCGGTGTACAGCAGATGCCTGTGAGCAAAACTGACATCAGATCAGGAGGTGAGGTTCAGTAGGTTGGAGTACTGTTGTAGTGTTCTTCACTTTAATCATCTCCTCTGATTGGTCATTATTTCTGCAAACTAAATCCAGTGATGCTGTAAGTTTCATCAAGTTAATATTTTGTTATTGTTTGTCCTTTTCATTGACATATTGGCATATTTATAGAATATTCATTCATAACAGGGGTTCTTTCTCATTTATACTTCAGAGCTATTGTGGGCTAAATATCCACAGCTTGATGGACTGATTCATAAAATTATGTTAGTTAAAAATTCTGGTCACCAACAGCCATGTTTTATTCATGCTTTTTTTAAATTCTTACTTTCTTCGATCCAAAAAAGTGTTATGGCATCCAAAAAAACAAAGAATGGCACCAGCAACCAGTTGGCATGTTATTTTGATCTTATTTGTTTAATTGAAATCATAAGAAAATGTAAAGCATCTGTTTACAGAGCACAATGTGCTTACATCACAAAACTTTAAGTGCTCAAAGGATTAAACAGAAATAAAAGCCTCAGAAACAGCCTCTGCGGTTCCTCAAATGCAACATGGAGTTAAAGAAGCACTGCATGCATCACAATGAGAACATATCCTCAAATAAAACACACAAACAGATCAGTCTCAATAGTCTCAATAAATACATTATAGCTATGATATGATGAGGTGTGGACAGAAGTTATTTTTAATACTTGTTTCACAGTGGAAGTGAATCTGAAATACTGCTCTTGGTTTGCATAAAAAACATAACATCCACTGGTGCTGCTCTGGTTTGGAATAATTTTCCATTTTTTTAAGGAACAACAAAACATCTGGGGTCAGATTTCTTGGTAGATGATGAGGTCCCAGGAGGGACATTTCCTGTGGCTGGAGTACCGACAACGGAGAAGCCGGTTATAGATTCAGACTGTATGAAAACCTTAGGCAAAAACAAAAACAAAAACACCAAAAAGTATCAAAACATATGATCTGAATGTAGGGTTGCGTTTTCTCCCTATGCATGCCCGGGTCTTTACTAGATACTACGATTTCCAAACCCAAGAAAAGTTGTAGTATCAATTCAAAAGCTAAAGTAAGATATAAAATTTGCCTTCTTCTTACAAATTATCAACCACCATCATGCTGTAATGTATGTGTCTTTAGTTTTAAAGCTGTACGATGACAATATATCATGGGAAAACAATGATGTCGCCTTGCTATTTGACTCTCTAGTAGCTTGATCAACAGATTAGTCAGGTTGCCACGGATCTTTGTCGAAAAATTGCACCGCAGCTCTCAGAGACCTTGTATCCTACATCCGCTCCACAGCGACAGAACTGATGCAACTGCGAGTCAACTATTGCAGCAGTGACACAGTAATAACATAACTTGATCTTATCTATGCTATGCTGTTTACACTGATGAAGCTGACATGAAGATTCACTCAACTCGGCATGCCGGATGGTTGAAACCAGTGGCGATTGCTCTAAGACGGCAAGGGAAGCTCAGCTTCCCCTAAAATGTCAAAAAACAAGTGATCAAATATATACTGTTGTGTGTACATGTCA